TAAAAAGATGGTTATTACGTTGAGTTCATGTTTTTTTAAACATAGAAAACTAAACTGTGTTCTACTACAATGTTCTAAAAACTCAATATATGAATATAACATATTTTACATAAATAAGTTCTGAATTTCAAACAACTAATACTAAAATAGAAGAAAGTTAACTCATAGATAAACATATAAATTTTTTCCCGATCTACAAAATCTCAAACACTACTATGACACGATTTATTCAATACCAAAACAGCAAACAAATCTATAAACAATATACCCAGACGTAGTCCGAGACATCTCCTAATACTAATTAAAAAGAACAATTTGAAGCTTCTTAGGCTATCCACATCAGCCAAAACAAAACCCTTCTAAAGATGCCACGTCAGATCGATTTGCAGTCTTTAAAAATTGCCCACATGAAGCAGTTTCTACACACGTCTGGAAAAATGTAAGGCCCATCAAAACAATAGAAGGCCCCACATACTAATGTTTATATCATACTTCGTTTCCCATAAAAAACCAAATTCTAAAATGAACCCACATAAAACCATGTCATCATGTCATCTCTTTAAACGCTTACACCACCTCCCTGATTTTCTAGCTTCCAGCTATAAGAAAGAAAAGTATAAATTCTCCACGTTACAAAGTCAGTCGGTTCCTCTACCTCCAGGGCTTCTCATATGTGGCCTAATCGCTTTAAATTTCGATCACACCCTCTTTGCCTCTCCTCTTACTTCCTAGAATTCCTCTTCGATACTTGTACCTCCTAGATCCGCAAATTAATCGGTTAATCCAAGAAAGGCGCATTCTGAATTCCTCTGACTTTTCTATTTAATTGGTATAGATTACTTTTAAACGTTCTTCCTGATTTGTTGAATGGTTCACAAAATGTAATTAAACTCTATGTTAACAGTTTCACTAAGAAAAATGACCATCTCCAAGGACGACTGAAAGTATAATCAGTGCAAGCGCTTAGAAATTTTTACTTCTTTTGCATTCTTGATTTACTGGCCAAAACTGTTGATGGCAACTTCCAGATGGTTGAATACAAAACATGTTTGTTTTCATCCACGTTTCAATGGTTAGTTCTCTAACCTTTCTAATAGTTTTTCATTTTATTTCGAGATGACATACTGACCACCTCGGCTTTCATTGTTGGGGCCCGACACATGATGACATGCAATCTGAAATTGAGATTGAACCTCAGAAGAACGAGGCCATGGATATGTCAGACAGAAATCTAGAAAAAAGTCATATGAGAGCTCAAGAAACAAAACAAAAAAAGGTGGAGGTAGTCTTTGGCGCAGATGAAAAGGATTTTCATCTTAAATTCCCAACAAAGTAACCTCAAAAACTATTTATAAATGTTCTTAAAAGCACCTATAAAAAGTTTACAATGGTAGGTGGAGTCCTTCTTATGGTGTATTTTTCACCACTCTACTTTCATGCCTATGGTTACTCACACAAACAAGGTTATCTTGATTCAATCTCATTTGTATATTCCACTGACGTTATGTTCCAATTTATTCCTTCATTTGTTTGAAAGTACTTTTGGTCGAGACGATAAAACTCTAATCCAAAGTTACAAATTGATGATAAGTGCGATCTAAACCACAATGCAGGCCAAGTCTTTATATCTGAAGGGGTTGACAAATGGGTGTTATGCAAACCATAAATATAAAGGTAGATACACTCTACTAACTATTGCAATCGTTTTCTTTTATCAAATTTGAAATACATTACTTGGTAGCCTCTTTGACTCCATTTCCCATAAAGTGTTAGTACTGTCCAAGGTTGTCTCAATTGATTAAAGACTTTTCAGTGTTTCTTCCTATGGATTTTGTGCTATTCCATTTGAAATTTTTTTAAGTTAGCACAATACATCTTATTAACACTCTATGTATTCTTCTACAGACGTCAACAACATTTGATGGAGAATATAGACTTCCCTTTACAACTACGTGAAGAAGGTACGGAAAATTAAGGCTTCTAACTATGTCACTTCATCACTTTCCTTATCGTCTTCACATGAAGACTGAAAGTTTTAGATCCAAAGCAGTTATGTACGACTAACTGATTCAGGCTGAAAAAGAAGGGGCTTTTGCTGTACTGAGCAGTACGTGCAGCTGTTGTTCTTTTCGTTTAGTACTTAAGGCGATCTGTTTCTGTCTTCACGTTCAAAAAGAGATCTTATATAAACCTTTCTACGGTTGGCACGTCATGTCTTTCTCTTAGCATAGTTCACTTCGTTTAAGAAGATGCCATAAGCATCAACAATATACATATGAGGTTCTTTAATTGTTATAAATGTAGCCTTTGTAGTCCGAGGTCAATCATTAATTGGTCCCTATTGTTTCTCATGCTGGTTTACATTCCCATCCCAATCTCTTTTACTTCAACATGCCCCCATTAATGTTCTCTCCCTCAAGTATGTTTCGATATACATTTAAGCAAGTATAAATTAATATATATGTATCTTTGTATATTTTATATGTGAAATTTATCCTCTCATGAATCCTTCTCACTCTTTCCTGGCAAGAATGTCTCATTTACTTGAAACAATTCATATGTGATATGCTACATTATAATATCAGGAGCTTACATATGAAGATCTCATTGCATTTATTGTCTTATCCTTTTTACCTAATTTTACAATTCAATCTCTCATTATACATCTATC